GCCCCACCCGGCGTACTTTGACCAACTCCATTCCGGAATAGGAGCAGTTAAAAGAAATTGGCGCCTGGTGAGAAATGCTCTTGGGAAACTATGGCGGAACAAAAGAGAAGAACTAATCATGGGTGCCGCGCTGCCGTTTGCTTCCGGAAGTTGTTTGGCAACGAGAAAGAAACTCGACATTAGCGCACATCATCAACTTCTTAATACAACACAAACTGCCTGCCGGTGCGGTGCTCGGAGGGTGCGCTGCTCGCCCCCGGGGGCCTGCGTCCGCGCCGGGGGCTGTCACAGCGGGCGGGGGCGGGGCGAGCGGGGGCGACGAAATTGCCGGCGGTGCCCTGGCGGTGCCTGCCTGCTGTCGGTGCCTCGCGGGTGCAACGGGACACCCATTACCCGCTCCCGGGGCAAAGTAAGTCGGCCTGGGCAGCGGGCGGCGGGGCGGGCGCTGCGGTGGGACCGGCACGACCACGACCAGCAGGGCCTCCTCCCCCGTACGAGGCATTAGCGGCCACTACCAGGAGCAGGTACTACCAGGAGCGGGCAGTACGAGAGCAGTACCAGGAGCAGGCACTACCGGGCACTACCAGGAGCGGGCACTACCAGGAGCAGGCACTACTAAGAGCAGGCACTACTAGGAGCAGGCACTACCAGGAGCAGGCACTACCAGGAGCAGGCGGGCTGCGGGCTAATAAACACCCAGTGCCTTTTGAATGGAGCCCGCCTTTCCTCAAGTTCGCCAGGTCAGGGGTGAGGCGAGGCCTCAACCAGATGGCGAGCACTACCTGAGCGTTCACGAGGACGAGGTGGGTAAGATCAGGTGGCAGGCAATACCAGAGCGTTCTGGAGGTGGAAACGATCAGGTGGCAGGTACTACCAACGAAATCAGGAGGAGGTGGGTACGATCAGCTGGCAGGTACTATCAGTGAGCGTTCAGGAGGCGCGTACGATCTAGTGGTTGGTAGGTACTACCAGCGGTTCTTTAAGGAGGTGGGTGCAATCAGCTGGCAGGTACTACCAGCGAGCGTTCAGGAGGTGGCAGGTACGAGCGGGCAGCCAACCGCCGAGGGCACTGCACGGCTCGCGCGTGAACTGGGACCAGGCCAGCTGCATGCAGTCCATCGCGACAAGGCTGACAATGAGCTCTCCCCCCAGGGGGGTACCCTTCCCGCCCCCCCCCCTCTCTCTCTCTCTCTCTCTCTCTCTCTCTCTCTCTCTCTCTCTCTCGCTCTCTCCCTCCCTCTCCGGGGCCGCGAGATTCTGTCGACAGCAGGTAGATGAGCGCTGGAGGGCGATAATGGCATTGCGGAACTGGTGCAAATGTGAAAGTCCGCCGTTCAATTACCGGCACCCGCAGAGTTGCCGTTTTTTTCTCTCTCTCTCTGTCTACGCCCTAGTGTTGTTGTTGTTGTTGTTGTTGTTGTTGTTGTTGTTGTTGTTGTTGTTCGTGGTAGTGTCCTTTCCTTCCTTCCTCCACTGATGCAGCAATTGCATTCATCGAGTAAGGTGCGGAGCCAGGAGGGAGGGGGAGAGAGGGGGGGCGGTGCAGGCCGCCGTAGTCAGCCAGCGGGCGATGCGGAGGGGAGATTGGCGACACAGTTCCGTACACAAAACGCGCCAATTCCGAACCGCTTTGCGGCCAGGCGGCGCGCCACCCACCAGAGAAAGACGGACAGGCGGGCGGACCGGGAGAGACAGGCGGGCAGCGCTGGGGGAGAGTTTGGACGACAGACATGCTCGTAGTGAAGTGTGCCCTCTGCAAGTGCTGCAGCAGAATGACGAGCAGCTCTCTCGTTCCCGTTCTCTCTCTTTCCCGTTCCCCCTCTCTCTCTACCCCATCTCCTGGTCATACCGAGGTGTCCGTCCAGCCCGCCCTGCCGGAAGCTTCCTCCGAGGCGGGGGTACAAATTGTCCACGGAGGCAGACTGCGCAATACAAGGACGGCCGACGGCCGGAGGCGAGGGCTGATGGCCTGGGAGCCGACTGACGACCCGCCGCGCGGGCAGAGCCGCCGACTACCTGACTCATCTACCGGTCATCCACCATACGCGACCACATTTTGCCTTCTTTCGACGGTGACCTGCTTCCGAGCCTCTCTGCGGACGCGTCAGAAGATCCCTGCTCTCGCTTCGTCGACGGCGGCCTCGTCGATGGCGGCCACGTCGATGGCGGTCTCGTCGACGGCGGCCTCGTCGTCAGCAGCCCCGTCGACGTCCTCCTCGTCAACCTCGTCGTGTCATGCCTGCCGTCAGCCACAGGGGCCTCGCAATGAGGGCGTCGGAGCG